CATAGACCTAATGTGGCTTCCCTCTGTCTTTTCTACAAATATTTTCATGGCAGCTGTTCTGATGAGATATTTTCCCTGATATCCCAACTAGATGAATTTAAGCGTGCTACGAGATTGGCATCTAGATCCCACCTTTTTACTGTTGAAATAGTTAAATATAACCACTACTTCTACTCCTGCAGTTTCTTTTCTCGTGCTTCCCGACAGTAGAACTCTCTTCCTCTTACTTGCTCCCATGATAACTACAATCTTCAAAAATTTAAATGCAACGTCAATCGCCATCTTCTGTTACTGTGATCCCCGTTTTTTATCCTTTCCTCAATCCCCACTACATGCAGTCTTTTCCCTCACTTTCACTCTCCGGAACCCCTGCGTGCTCGTCGCTTTTCCCACTTGCTTGGGGTGAAATGCTTAAAAAAATTGAAATATATACATGTTTCCTTATTTTTAATGATATCATGTGATATTGTTAAAAATAATGACATCAACATTAGCGGAATGTTACCCTCGGACAGAATAAGAAGAAATGAAAACTAATTCAAGTGTGAGAGGGTGTATAGTTTTGTTAAAGGAAGAGAAGGAGAGAGAGAGAAGAAGAAGTGATGATAGTGGAAGGAACTTTAAATGGAGTCAGATGTCAAAATAGAAATTGAAATTCAACTCTGGTTATCCTTTATTCATATTCCTTCTGACCAAACCAGATAATAATATTTCAAAAGGGGTTTAGTAATAATTAAATAGCGACTTCATCAATTTTAGCACCAGGCTTGATTGAATATTGAGTTCTCGTTAAAAGAGGAGTTTCCAAATTTATGCCTGTGAATTAAAGGATGCTGAAATCATCTCATCCCCTATTTCATCCCAACTAGAGATTTTAATCAATACTCATTTGTTAACATTTGGTTCATTATTAAAAGAAAAAGAAAAGGAAAATGAAAATGAAGACAGTAAAAATAAATTCAAGATAACAATTGATGTTAGCCATGAATAACAAAATTTCAGGAAAATCAAACCTTCAAGAAGTTGAATTAATTATCATTTGATATTTGCAAGATGAGATGTTATCATTATTTCTAGAATTTCCAAATTTTCCCGCCTTTCATATATTATTCTCTTCTTCTTTGTTTTTCACTCTATCTATGAATAGAGAAATATATACAAAAGTTTTCTATCATCGAAATGCTTTTTCAGACCATTCAGTTTGTTCCTCACTGGATGCCACGTTATTGTGACCTTGTGTCAGGTGAGGTTATGGCTAAAGAAGTATGTTATGTTCTAAAAACAATCACTTAAAATGCTCGGTTCTTAGTTGATTCTGGAGTCCAATGAGTTTGATCCTGGTCAGGTGCCCAGTCATGTGGTTTTGTGTGGAGTATCTGCATAAATGCATGCACACACACACACATATTATATATATATATATATATATATATATATATATATATATATATATATATATATATATATATATATATATATAGTTTTAAGGTATGTTATATAAGTAATCAACATCAGGGATAGATTGTATGTAAATATAAAAGCGGACATGGCCTGACGACTGCGTTTAACATGAAACAGATTGTCGCCTCTGGGTGTTGACTTCAATGTCCACTTATATATATATATATATATATATATATATATATATATATATATAATTGTGTATTTAGGTAGCAAATTCTCTTTTAGTCATGTCTGATTGAATAAGTTACAAACATTATTTCTGATTATTTTGATCATAATCCTTTCATATTCACAAATATTTTCCATATATTACAATTAAATGAGAAAGAAATGAATTGTAACAGTGAGAGTCACTTTTATTTACCGACAGAAAGTACTTGGGAAATAAAAGTGACTCTCACTGTTACAATGCATTTCTTGCCTCATTTAATTGTAATATATAGAAAAATATTTTTGAATATGAAAGGATTATGATCAAAATAAGCAGAAATAATGTTTGTAACTTATTCAATATATATATATATATATATATATATATATATATATATATATATAGGGGGGTCCCAAAAATAAAATATCGTTAAAAAAGCTCATTTCTCTATATTTTAATTTAAAATGTGAAACTTTCATATATTCTCGATTCATTGCACATAAAATTATTGTAAACCTCTTTTTAAAATTTTGATGATTATACTAATGAAGATCAAAAATTCAAATATTTTACTCTATTACAAAAATATATCCACTTATCTACTCAATACTTGAATGGGATACTTTTGCACAAATTACTGCATCGGTACGGTGTGTCATGGACACGATAAGCCTGTGGCACTACTTAGGTGTTACGGAAAACTCACGTTGCTTTGATAGTGGACTTCAGCACATCTGTGTTGTTACGTCTGGTATCTCATATCTCGACATTACTCCACAGGTTCTTTCTTGGGTTCAGGTCAAGCGATTCGACTGGTCATCACAGTAATACCGTGGTCAGTAAGTCAGTTACTTGTTTTGGTGCTGCGGGCTGGTGCCACGTCCTGCTGTAAAAAGTAGATCAGTAGACGAAAGCATGCTGTGTTCTAAACCAAGGCTGGTGGCAATTGGGATCATAGAGTCATTACGAATTCCATGAACCTTTCATAGTTTCTTTTAAAGTGTTCTAAAACTCCCCGGAAGTCAGCTGCTTTCTGTACTTCCTCCAGACTATGAGACTTGATTTCAAAATAAAATGCGAAAGAGGATTTTAAACCACTGAGAAACTGTCCAGTTCATTATCTCTTTAGTTCAGTTAAAACGCCTTTGACATTGTCTTTAGTGCAAGAGTGACTCGACACCAGGAATGCAATACAGTGGGC